CCACACCACCACCACCACCACCACCACCACCACCACCACCCACCACCACCACACCACCACCACACCACCACCACACCACCACCACCACCACCACCACCACTACCACCACCACACCACCACACCACCACCACCACCACCACACCCCACCACCACCACCACCACCACCACCAACCACCACCACCACCACCACCACCACCACCACCACCACCACCACCACCACCCACCACCCAAACCACCACCCCCACACAAACCACCGCAGCAGCAGCACCACACCACCGCCACCACAAACCACCACCCACACAACCACCACCACCACCACCACCACCACCACCACCACACCACCACCACCACCACCACCACCACCACCACCACCACCACCACCACCACCACCACCACCACCGTCGTCCTCGTCGAGGCTCCCCGCCACCGCCGCCCGCCGCCGCAGGCGCCGGCCAGCGCAGCCCAGAAATGGAAATCGTCGTCCCCGCCGCCATCGCCACCCGCCGACGCAAGCGCCGGCCCGAGGAGAGGGGGAGCAGGGGGGGTGGGGGTGGGGGGGGGGTTTGAACCCCCCCCGTCCATCCAGGAGGGGGGGGGGGAGGGTCCGGTTCCCAACCCCCCCCTCCCTCCAAGCGACCACAGAACGCGCTCTTTCAGATATCGGTACGCGGCGCAAATGCAAACTGTCAAAACCCTATCGGGTTTCGGGGACCAAGACTCCGCCACACAGTCCATTGTTCTCCTAAGCGCTGGCGGACATGTTCTCGTAAGCGCTGGCGGAGACAACCTGGATGCCGGTTGCACAGGCTGGAACACAAGAGAGACATAAGGGGAGGAGGAATAGGAGGAGGAGGCCGGAGAAAGGAACAGTAGAACTTGGGCACTTCTCTCTCGGCGCAGCTCCAAGTCAAGCGCAGTTTCTAGCACCTTGGCCGTCCCCTGCTTGTGCGAAGGATACTTCAGCTCCCCGACGCACCTCCAAGCGGCCTTCGCGCCATCGGATTTGAATTTTTCACCGTGCGCATCCTGTGAATTCACAGGCCCATCGGAAATGTAACTTCCACAGGCGCTACATCTTATAATGAACCCGTCATCGTAGGCAGAGAAATCAGCGATGTACAGTTTGTGACCGTTCGGGTTGCGCAGCACATCGAGGAGTCTATGTGGAAAACCTGGACAACGGCCCGCATCAGGACGCTCTTCGCTCTGGCGCTTCCCAAAACATCCCGCGCACCTCCAGCGCGAGGAGCGGGATTGCCAGGCCCGCTGATGAGGAGAAGCGGGGGCAGGAGGGGAGGGGGGGCAGGGGCGGGAAGGGCATCAGGGGCGTGGGCTTGACGTGGTCGGTGCGCTTCCCCGCAGCAGGGGGGCCGTCCGAGAAGGCAAAGAGGAGGTGGGTAATTGCACTCCCGAGCGGCCTGCCCTGATATATCCAAGCCCGCCGGGGCACCAGATGAAGGTGCCGTCAGAATGGCTCCCTTCCCTGCCCTCGGCCTGCGCTGCAGTCGCGGCCTTTGGGGTGGGGAAGGTCGAAATCGGGCGAAAACAAGCGCAGCTTTGGCAGCATGAATCAAATGAGCTTTCAGAGCCTTGCTCGCGAGGGCAGCTGCAACCTTCTCGCTGGAGGTTCGATTATGGCTGAGAGCTCTGGTCTTGGCCACGCTGTCAGCCGCCGAATTGCCGACGGCCCATAGCCATTCATCACATCCTGGCGCAAGCGTGTCAGGATTTCCATGCGATTTGGTCTTAATAACCTGGGCATTGCAAACTCTGCGGCCTATGGTTTGCATATCTAAACCAGCATAATAAGATCTCCTATTGTGCAGTCTACCAGGGAGCCAGCCAGTCATTCCTACAACGCCTTGGAAATCAGCAGTGCAGTAGGTCATGTGGGGGAACTGGTCAAGGCGACGTACGCTGCAACCTTCTTTGCGGCAGGGCTGGTCTGCGGAAATATTCCCCGCGCTCGGCCGCGATCGGTCGCCCATAATTCACCGTGCTGGTCAAGAACAGCCAGGCCCCATCCCGCACAACACATCATCCAATGTCCGTCTTTGAAAATACTTCAATCCGAATGCACTTCTCCTCTGAATGCCTCTTCGCACGACACCGACGACTCACGGCGCCAGGAAGTGCCATCCTGATCCCCCAGTCCCTCCGGGAAGAATAACACAAAAGCGCACTCTGCTTGAAAACCAAGGAGTAGAGGATGCCGTCCTTGGCCACCGTTCGCTAGAACCCAAACCTCCTCCTCTAAATCATCGCGGAGGGCTTGTGTCAAGGGGCGATGCAACAGCCTGTGGTGCATATTTTCCGTGGGATGCCCGTAATCGCATCTAGTGTTCGTGTCATAACCTGCTCGATGCAATCGCGTCTTTGTCCATTGCTGCTGCAGTAGAAATGACTTCAGCGCCGACTTCTCTGCCGAGTTCAGTGGGGACTTGACGCCGCAAAGCCTCCTGGCAACATGCATGTCCAAAACCGTGCCTCCAGATATCTTCAGCTTGCTTGGAGGCCGCCCTCCTAGACAACACCAACAAGCAGTCCGCTTTGAGGCCAATCTGAAGCTTCTGAGGGGAGGTGGAAGTAATAATGACATGATTGCCATTTGATTCCAACAAGTCGAAGGGCGCGTCGTGTCGTCAGCCTACTCTTCCAAGAGACATCAAGGCAACACCAAGGGGGCCTCGGACTTCGTTCCAGTTAATCGGATCTCTCGCGCACATTTTGGTCACCAGGCGGAGAAGCCTCGGGAAATCCCGCCCTGGCATATCACCCGTGCAAACCTTCCACACCACAGTGCCACCGGCCCCAAGGCCAGCTCGATGATGGGGTCTCTGTGCTTGGTGCAACTCCTTCCCGTCCAACCCAACAACCTCAGCTCCGAAGGACCTGAGACCACAAACGTATGTCCTGCTGAGCGCGATGTCCGTGGAGACCGCCCGTGCCCCTCGGAGCTTGTTCGCCCTCCTCTCGAGCTTCACAAGCCTGCCCCTGAGGGTCGGGCGAGTTCCAATCCTCGCTCTCCTCTGGCCCGCGAGTGCATCAATGCTGAGGTTGGGGGGCTCCTCGGCGGTGAATTCAACCGTGCTGTTTCATGCTTTTCTGCATCTTGTTCAGTAGCCGATCGGACAATGGCCACCGTCGCAGTCTTCCCAGCAACAATTTTACATAGGACCTCATGTTTCATAATTGCTTGTACACGTCGTTCATTTGCGATCGTGCTCGTTTTTAATTGTTCCTGGCCCCCTGGTGGTCAGGAAGAGGCCCAGGATAGAACAATTAGAAATGAAGGGATCTTGGCCCCCCGGAGAAATCAAAGAACTTTCGAATCATTCGAAATCAACAATGTGTATTCTCCACTCGCCTATTTTCTTCTTGGTGCGTGCCCTGCAGCATCCGGTCATCAATGAATGGGAAAACGCCCAGGCCGATCTCTGCCAAGGCGGCGGGAAGTTTGCCGACAGGCTCACAGGAGTTAGCCTGCACAGCGGATGTCGCAAAGGGGCATCCGGCAGCAATCCCATCCTTTGGAATCTTTCCCTCCATGGCTACTCCGTTCATGCCCAAGTGCCCTATTAGCCTGGTACATGCTGTCGTGGGGAACCGACTTTTTTTGGCCCGTGCCCACGCGAGCTCCCTGTTCACGTGCTCGTAATAGCTCCATATCGTACATCACATTTGCAGTACGCAGGGGTCTCTCACACTGTGCGGCGTGTTCGGAAACCAATCCCTGGAGGAAGTCTACTTCAAGAATGGACGTACCTTTCTGGTGTGCAAGGCTCTCCATCAGATGCCTCCTTTCCCATTCTCGAGCAATTCCCTGACGTGCCTTTCCCCCTACTCTGTACATCGAGGGCCATACGTGGATGCCTCGAAAGGCAGAGAGGAATCGAGGGCCATTCTGTTTTGTAGCCTTCGGAAACATCCCAGCATGCACGGCCTGTAAGACCGTGGGGGGAAATTCCCATGGCGCTCCACGCACGTAAATAATCTCGCAAATAGATTGTGGGCTTCATCCCCCGCGACTCCATAATGTTTGGGATGCATTCCACCGTAAGTTGAGGAATTTGTGTGGCTACATGTCTTGACTGCCCCCTTCACATCTTCCCCAGAGATTGGCGGCAACACGATATCATCTTCACACTGCCATGCTGGTAAGGGCTGCTCCACTGCCTGCCATAGCCCATGGAATCTGTCTGCTTCAGCTGCCAGCAATTCCGTGGACTGTCCTTTCCACTCCCCATGTCATTTCACTTGGCTTGGCGCCCAAACTTCCTAAGGCTTAGTCCAACGATGAATCCATCCAGTGTTACACTCGGTGTGCTCCACGACCCAGGCACGCCACGCTTCCCTTCCAGAAGCCTTACCTTTCGCCTTCTGATCGTCCAGGACGCAGGCCGCATCCGAGAGAAAGGAATCCAAAATCTCGTTTGCACTCTCTGCCCTAAACGTTTGCCGGGCGACATCCGCGCACAAAGCCTGCTGGAGAGTGCGCGCGCGCAGATCAATCAGCGCTGGAACCTTTTCAAACTCAGCAGGTGCATCATCCAATTCCAAAGCGATGAGCGGAATCGCCGCGACGTCGTTCAAGACGGCCTCGATAATTCGAATCACCCAATTCTTAAGCCAACGCATCCTGGCGGCGTATGCAGGAGGAGGAGGAGGAGGAGGAGGAGGAGGAGGAGGAGGAGGAGGAGGAGGAGGAGGAGGAGGAGGAGGAGGAGGAGGAGGAGGAGGAGGAGGAGGAGGAGGAAGGATAGGAGGAGGAAGAGCAGGAGGAGGAAGAGCAGGAGAAGGAGGAGGAGAAGAAGGAGGGCGAGGAGGAGGGTGAGGAAGAGGAGGAGGGGGACGAGGAGGAGGAGGAGGAGGACACTGACGCTACGGGCCACGACGGCCCGACAACATGTCGAAGAAAGAAGGATGACGGGAGGAGGAGGAGAAGGAGGAGACGAAAGAAGAGGAGGAGAACGATGGAGGAACCCCGCGGCTGGGCGCTCCTGCAGCGCCCAAGAGGCCCAGGAAGAATTTACCCGGGGTGTCGAGCACCAGCGCGCCGCTGAGGAACACCGCGCAGTGTCTCTTCGCGCGGCTGGGCGCCGTGGGGGAGGAGCCGGCCGGAGCAGGCCCGGACACTTGTGTGGGGAGGAGGCAGAAGCCGAGAGGGCAAAAGACACTCACGCGGCAAACGTCCCACCCGCCATGGGCGCTGCAAGTTTCATGCGCTTTGGACAGACTTTGCACTGCTGCGCGCGAGGGGAAGTCCACCGGAGCGAGCGACTGGGGCAGTTCCTGACAGCTCGCGCGGCCCGTGCCGTGCTCGCTCCACGAGCGCATGCCATCACACGTGCATCGACTCTGCCAGGCAACGGCCCCGCGTCGGTAAGCTCTTGGGCCACTCTCGGCCTCCGAGGGCCCTCGCCGAGCCCGTGAGAACATCCGAAAAAACGACTCGGAATGAAAAACCTGTCCCGGGGGAAGGGGTCCAGACCTCCAGGGGTCCACTCTGTGACAAAGGACACGACGTCGCACGTCTGGGGAAGAAACGGCCCAACTTTGACGGCGCGCTTGCGGGGGAAGGCAGAAGGGGGGCGGCCTTCTCAGGCAACGCGGCTTGGCTTCTCGGAAGCCCTCCCACCTTCTAAGAAACCTTTCGAGCCTTCTCCGAAGCCACGGGTGGCTTCTCGGAAGGCCGCAGAGCTTCTGACAGGCCTCGCCACCTTCTGAGAAGGCCAGCCCCCTCTGCCTTCCCCACACGGTTGCGCCGCCGAAGAGCAGGAGAAACTACTCAAATACGGATTGCTGCGCGGTCCTGTTGTAACGTCATGTGGTCGGTTTCGGAAGCCCTGAATCCCAAAAAACTACCATCTCTTGGGAAGGCAACTTTTAATTCCGCTGGCTTCCGCTGGGGAAGATATGTCAACTTCTTCGACCCTCGAAACCGAGGCCCTTTCTGAAGCGTCTCAAACTGGGATTGCTGCGCAGTCCTCTTGAAACGTCACGTGGCCATCTCTTCAAACGGGAAAAGGCGCATACTCGAAGCTGTTCTGTGCGCGATCATCCTGCGGTTCCGTGCAACCCCTACAGGTTAAGCAACTCGATGGAGCCCTGGTCCATCTGGGTCGAGCCACGTCGATCTGAGGGATCCCCCCTTGAGAACTTAACAACGGCTCCGAACACGCTCCCAATTCGCCACCGCGCCCCCCCCAGCAGGTTGAGGCGTAGAAGAATGCCAACAGGTCCGTCTGGTACAGCTTTCTGAATTCTAATGAGGGATCGCCCCTCCCTCTACTAGCAGACTCTTGCGTGCATCACCCTTCTTTTCAGATGCCACTTGCCTTGCGCCCGCTCGAGGATGGTGCACTTCCAGCAGCTAATGCCTAATCCCCCATTCCACGCGTGCCCGCTCGAGGATGGTACACTTCCCGCATTGCATCTAATGCCTGAAGGCTCATTCCATGCGCGCCCACCCAAGGATTGAGCACGTCCCGCTTGGCTGCAAACTCTTAGCCCCTCATCCCACGCGCACCCGCTCGAGGGTCGTGCACTTCCCGCATTTCCAGGCGCTGCTCGGAAGCGCCTTAGGGCCTCCCACGTCACGGTCTCTCGTGAAACACGATGGATATGCGCCCCGAGCTTCCAAGACGGCCCGTACAGGCAACCAGGGACACCAAGATGGCCCAAAATGCCTCGAAGACGTTCCGCGGCCGAATATTGACTCAAGACGGGCTAAGATGCCTCCAAGAGGGCCCAACATGGTTACAAGAGGACCTCCGACAGGGTCCAATGCCCCCTTGGTTTTTGATTTTTTTTTCGCCTCTTCGGGCTGCCGCCAGCTCAAGACGGCCCAGGAGGACTCCACGATGGCCCAAGGGGCATCCAAGACGGCCCCGGAGGGCTTCCGTGGGACCCAGGACGGCCTTTAGAAGGCCCTTTGACGGACCACGACGGCGCCAAGATGGGCCGACGACTGCCTCCAGACACCCACCATGCGGCCAAGAAGGCCCCAAGACGGCCCCAAAAAAGCCCCAAACTGGCGTAAGAGGGCCCCAAGACGGCCCAAGAGGGCCCTTGCCTCACAGGAGGCCAGGACAGCCCCAACATGGCCCAAACGAGTTTCATCATCATCATCATCATCATCATCATCATCATCATCATCATCATCATCATCATCATCATCATCATCATCATCATCAACATCACCATCACCATCACCATCATCATCACCATCATCATCATCACAATCAACATCATCAGCATCATCGTCATCACCACCATCAACTCTACGAACATCATCATCACCATCATCATCATCACCATTATCATCAAAATCATCATCATCACCACAACCATCATCATCACCACCCTCATCATCACCACCATCACCACCATCATCACCACCACCACCATCACCATCAGCATCACCGTCAGCATCATCATCATCATCATCATCACCATTACCATGATATCATCATCACTGCCACCATCACCATCATCAGCATCACCATCATCATCCTCATCTTCATCATAACCATAACCATGACCATCACCATCGCCACCATCATCATCACCGTCATCAATGGAATCACCATCGCCCGCACCATCACACTCGCCAGCACCATTATCATCATCATCATCATCATCATCATCATCATCCCCACTCACCATAACCATCCACATCATCAGCAACATTATCGTCGTCGTCGTCGTCGCATCATCACCATGACCACCATCACCACCAACACAATGACCAACATCATCACGATCACCATAATCATCACCACCATAACCATCATCATCACCGTCATCATCATCATCACTCGTCATCCTCATCATCATCAGTGTCATCATCTGTATAATCATGGCCATCACCACCATCACCATAATTAGCATCACTATCGTCATCATATCATCATTACAGCTACCATTAGCACCACCATTATCAATATCATCATAGTTGTCATCATCAGCATCAGCATCATCATCATCATCATCATCATCATCATCACCGTCGTCACCATCATGTTTAACATCGGCATCAGCATGTTCATCATCGCTACCCTGTTCAATATAATCATCATCATCCTCATCTTCACCCTCGTCCTTGTCCTCATCGCCATCATCACCATCACCATCACCACAACCATCATCAACATCAGCATCATCATCACCGTCATCATCCTCACCAGCATCGTTAGCATCATCATCACCAGCAGTATCATCATCATCATCATCATCATCATCATCATCATCATCATCATCATCATCATCATCATCATCATCATCATCATCATCATCATCATCATCATCATCATCATCATCATCATCATCATCATCATCATCATCATCATCATCATCATCATCATCATCACATCATCATCATCATCATCATCATCATCATCATCATCATCATCATCATCATCATCATCATCGAACAGCTCCATGGGGGGCGGTCTCTGCATAACAGTTTACATGGGAGAACTAGGGCCTCGGAGCATTGCGAGAGCGAGTGGATGTACAGAGAGAGCGTGATCCACCGCCGCTTTACCGTGGAAAATTCCTCCCCCCTCTTCCTCCCGAGCCCGGGGTTCCCCCCCCCCCCCTCCCCTACGAAAAAATCCCCCCCCCCCCCCCCCCCCCTCCCCTGCTGGACCCCCCCCTTCCCCCGGCAAAACCCCCCCCCTCCCCTAACCCCTCCCCCCCCCCCCCCCCTCGAAAACTGGGGGGGGGTCACTACCGGTTCGAACCCCCCCCCCCCTCGAAAACCAGAGGGGGGGTCACTACCGGTTCGAACCACCCCCCTCACCGCCAGCAAACGACTCCCGGTCCCTACCACCGTCCGCACCACATCCCCCACTGTTGTTCCCAGCACCACTGTCCTCACCACCACTGTCCCCACTGGTTCCACCACCGTCCCTACTGTCCCCACCAGTGCCCCCACCACTGTCGCACTGTCCCCACTGTCCCCACCACTGTTCCCACCACGGTTCCACTCTCCCCACTTTCTCCACGGCCCCAACCACTGCCCGACTATCCCCACTGTCCCCACTGTCCCACTGACTCCTCCGCTGTCCCACTGAGCTGTCCCACTGTTCCCACCACTGTCCCCACTGTCCCCACCACTGTCCCCACTGTACCTCTGTCCCATTGTCCCACCGCCGTCCTCGCCACCGCCTTCACCACTGTCCCCACCACCACTGTACCCTCCACTGTCCCACTGTTTCCACCTCATTCCCACTGTCCCCACACCACTGTCCCCACCACCACCGTCCCCACCACTGTCCACTGTCCCCACTGTTCCCACCATTGTCCTCACCACTGTCCCCACCACTACCGTCCCCACCACTGTCCCACTGTCCCCACCACTGTCCCGCTGTCCCCTCACCACTGTCCCCACCACCACCGTCCCCACCACTGTCTGCATCCCCCCCAAGTTTTCGAGGGGGGGGATTCTAACCGGTAGTGACCCCCCCGGTTTTCGAGGGGTGGGTGGGTGGGGGGGTCGAACCGGTAGTGGGGTTCGAACCGGTAGTGACACCCCCCGGTTTTCCAGAGGGGGGGGGGAGGAGTTCGAACCGGTAGTGACCCCCTCGGTTTTCCGCCAGCAGCGGTAGAACACGCTCTTTCATAAATCATCCCGGCAAAGCAACCTAACAGCGATGTGTATAAGCATATCTGGAAGCATTCCCCTTAAGATTCAGGTGAGAATCCAGTTGTAGAATTCTGCTGTTCTCGCAGTCGCAGTCGCATTCGCAATGACAGTCGCAGCGGCAACGGCCTTAGGATCCAATGGAATCCTCAGGATTCCTAGGGATTCCTAAGGCATCCGTATGCATCCTTAGGAATCCATAGGAATCCTTAGGAAACCTTAGAAATCCTTAGGAATCCGGATTCCTATGGACTCGTAGGGATTCCGAAGGATTCCTGAGGAATCTTGAGGATTCCGAAGGATTCCTGAGGATGCTTAATTATGCCTACGGATTCCTAAGGATGCCTACGGATTCCTACTAAGGATTCCTAGGGATTCCTAAGGATTCCTACGGATGCCTCAGCCTGCCTCAGTTTCAGCCTGCCTCAGCTTCAGCCTCGGCT